AATGCTGTTAGATATACGTTTCTCCCCTTCACTCCTTCCTCGAAATCTTAAATCTCTCATTCGCAATATCGATATACCTATCGAATCGCAAACGCGTAACAAAAGCGAACCGCGCGTTAAATTTGTGCGTAGTCATAAACTAGATTTGATTACGGCCTCGCAATTTCTTCCGAAGAGAAAAGGAAATGCTAAAAGTATTCCGTTTCGCAAAAACATCAACAGGACGAGAAGTAACTTGAAAAGATTCCACAACCAATCAACATTTATGTAATTCTTCTTTTTCGTGTGCTTTGTAAATATGGCGCTTCTTTTTTCTCAATGTGTATCACAGTTGTATAACTTTGAGATTGAAAAATTGAAATATCGCGCCTAACTATGTTCTTGTATGCATTGAATAAATATGTGGCATCATTTGTGATATATTAAAAAAAGTTACACTTGTGAATAATGCAGTAAGATATATTCCATTGCGTGAAGTGTTGGCCTGTTGGGTGACGGATGGAAAACAAAACGAAATACTGAAAAAAGACATTTTTATACACACATATATACACACACATGCGCGCGCACGCGCACGCGCACACACACACACACACACACACACACACACACACACACACACACACACACACACACACACACACACATGTATACACTTATACTTTTAGATGCAATTGATGTAACGACGTGCTCGCTGCCTGTTTATAAATATTACGAAATGCGATTAATAATCTATTAACAACTTGTCAAATATGCGATCTTTATTTCTTTTTTCACTTACCGAGAAGTGCTGTATCGATGCTAATAATAATTATTGCTATGAAGATGATGACGCTGTGGTAAAGAAAAATACAACAGACACACGTACACGCATAAGAAAAAAGAAAACAGACATTGTCGACTCTTTTCTTTTCAATTTTTTTTATTTCCGTGGCGATTGTGGCAAACACATATACACTAATACTATATGTAAATGTAAAAAAAATGTAAATATAACATTGGCGCAACGATATTATATGACTCGTGCATGCGTACGCATGTTCTCGTTATGATCATATCGATCGTATTTTCTAATTGAAATGGCTTTGGAAATGGTTTTGGCGACAAGAAGGACGTGCGGAATCGATATATGCGATTGCATATATGCGTTCTGGTCGACGACGCTTAAACAACAGACAAATGCGACTTGACGATACGCCGGTACATTTCGATGCGATAAGTGACAAAATCTTTGATCGTAAACCGTGTGTCACGGGTATTGCAAAATTGTACACAAGTGAAAGCTCATTTCAATAATTGTACTACTTTTATAGCAAAGTCCGACGAGAAATGACGACGACATTGTGAAAATAATCTCATTTTCGAGTATGCTCAAAGCCGAACGAGAATAGTCGTAGAGTATTGCTTGTGTCTAATTTGAATATCATTCCGACAGAAGAGAATGTAGTGCTTCTCTCTCTCTCTCTCTCTCTCTCTCTCTCTCTCTCTCTCTCTCTCTCTCTCTCTCTCTCTCTCTCTCTCTCTCTCTCTCTCCTCTCTCTCTCTCTCTTTCTCTCTCTCTCTCTCCTCTCTCTCTCTCTCTCTCTCCTCTCTCTCTCTCTCTCTCTCTCCTCTCTCTTTCTCTCTCTCTCTCTCTCTCTCTCTCTCTCTCTCTCTCTCTCTCTCTCTCTCTCTCTCTGAGGTGTAGGTGGAAGGATTAGATCGTTCACACAGTTATCTCGCAGCTATCGTCGGGACTGCGACGGCCAGTCGTTTCTCCCGGTACACAATGTTGTGGAACATCTCGATCCTCCTTATATCCGAAACACGAAATCCCTTCCAACAGACGACAAGACTCTCGAGTTACTCCAGTAGATGTACTTGATCTATATGAAATAGACATACTGGTTCGCGTGATGTCAAATCAAAACTTTGTCCATGTGGCCGAATGAGCCTCGGCTTATACGGATGATGTTTTGTTACTCAATGTCGCAATGACATAATTATTATGTTACATCGCCATCGTGAAACACATACGATCATCTACCCCTCGGCAATGTATAACTTTGGCTTTGTCGACCGCCTTGATCGGGTGTACGATTACAGGTCAACCGGCTCTGTCGATTGCAACGAGGACCTTGGCGGACCTATTAAATATATCCTATTAAATATGTGCGACGAAATATATCAGACGATCGTTTGCCGCAACTTTAGCTTAGTAATATGTAAGCAATTATACGAGCTTTATTTTATATCTTTATCGACGTGGGTGATGTGTATCTCTCTAGTCGATTTTTGTGACGAGTGAGCTTTATCGCTCGATTAACATTTATTCCAGATTGTTGGAAGTAACAAGATATTTCTTGGAGAAAAATGACAGAGTTTCTACGTTGATGGGTACACATTATCATCTTCCTTCGTATATTATATATTTTCGTGAGCTTAAAATTCACATGTGTGATCAGTTCCACACACGGTAACTTTCATCAACGTGTCATCGACATCGCGTATACGTCGGGTTACATCTTGCAATGTTAGTGCGCACTACAGTCAATCTACATATAATTCACATAGTGGTAGATGTATATATTTTGGTTTCTCCTTGAGAATAGGAGGGAAGGTTAGCAAGATACACAGATGCGATACTCGCCGCAGGGTGGGGACGGTCAAACTAGATTGGTATAAAATGTAACATCACTGTGCCGTGCAGCATGCAGTCATTCACAACGAGTACTGGATTATATACCTCTGCGGCTGTGATCGTCATGACTTACAAAGTAATACCTGCGTATCTTATCGCTTATTGTTGCTTCGCAACTGCCTGGAGGCTCTTGTCGCATTTTCCGCAATAATTATCATAATTTGTTACAATGCGATGAAATTTTGCTTTTAATAATTCATAATGTATTATGTATCGAATGCTCTTGGCGTGTTTTATTCAAGTGTATCAAATTTTCACCTTCATCTTTCTTTCCATTGGCGATTGGAGGTAGAGAGAATAAAGAGAGAAAGGCAGGATTAAAATTTCGAATATCGGACAAATATGACGAGCACCAATTTAATGAATTATAAATAAATAAATAAATATATATACGTCTCGCGAAGGATCTCTGGCGAGATATTTATAATTAATACGATCTGTTGCAGAATGCAGAAGTTTCATTTTACTTTGGTGCATTAATACTTTGTCGAGCTTAATTAAAACTATTTCAGTTAATTGTCCGGTGCGTGCGTACACATACATTCAATATTTTCCTACTAATATACAGATTATCGGCTGCTTCGCCGTCTTACTGGCTGTCGCTCGTGCCGGGATCATTGGCTCGAGTGTAGATGTTGCACAACAGCCAGTTGCAACAGTTATCAGAGTCCAAGAGTACGATTCACTTCCTAGATATACTTTCGGTTACAGCGTGGCAGATGGTCTCACTGGTACGTTCTTATAATTATAATTTTTCCATATACATTGTTGATGTTTAAATATCAACTATTGAGTTCTCAATGTCTTTCAAATCGCGCATATCCAAAGTGAAACGTACGTATCGATGAAGGGACATCACATGCACGCGTGTGTTCTGTGTGACCGCACGGAAAGCGGTCGTGGCGGAGACGCATAGCACATAGGGGCTAGTCAGTCCCTAGGTTGCCAATAAACCAATTGGTTTTCTTCATTTCCCTCCTCACGACAGAAATGAAGAACTCTGATTGGTTGATTCTCTTATGCCTTGTGTATTATGTGTTATGCAGAAGTCTGTGCTCCGGCCCTTAGTCTCTACGATAGTCATCGTAATGAAGGCGGCGCGACCGTTTAAAGGCTCTTTTCTTTCTTCCGTTAGACTGCCGTAGAGCGATGCTTGTCGGTTCTTGTCGTAATTTCTTTAAACATAGCTGTATGGCAGAGCACTCGCGTCACATTTTCGGGAAGAAGCGATGTTGCGAACAATCGAGTACGCAACATAACTTTAAACGTGAAATTTTGCTTCGAATGTAAATGCGACGAATATTTTGAAGGTGACAACAAGGCGCAGGCGGAAACTCGTAACGGAGATATAGTCCAGGGAAGTTACAGCTTAATCGAACCTGATGGTGTTCATCGTGTTGTTTCCTATGCGGCGGATCCCATCAACGGTTTTAACGCAGTCGTACAGCGGGATCCTGGCATCACGGTTAAGACCGCCGCTGTCGCAGATATTCCGTTTGCAGCGGTGCGACCTGCTGTCGCAGCAGCACCGTCCGTAATCGCCGCAGCTGCTGCGCCGGCTACTATTACAGTTCGTCCGCAGGTTGGTGATATATTTATTTAAGAACGCGATACTTGACTTTCGGTTCACTAGCAACTGGGCCGACTGGGCCGCGCTCTTGCCGGAGTGATTGCAATCTTTGTCCAATCATTCATCTAGTGCGCACTCACTCATCAGATTTCTAGAATTAATAATTTCTAGAATTTCTAGAATTAATAATTTCTAGAATTTCTAGAAATAATAAGTAAATAATTATTGCGAATATCGCAAAATGGTACGGGGCTTTTGCGGGGGACGTGTGTCTCAATGAGTTCTATGCCTTCATTGTGATTACCATTATGAGTTACCAAACATCCTGTATATTGATAAAAAGATTTGGAATATGTTAGTGTTCTTTCACATTTGTCTTATGAAAATGCGATGCAGCGTGGTCGAGATATGTTCCGGCAGTCCTAGCGCATTGTGAATTACCTATACGCGTGCGTACGTTATTTCAACTTGTCGTTGTACTCGCCGTCGTGTGATGTGTTGTTTATTATTCATATTTGAAACTAGTTTAAATATTCAATGATGTTTATTGTACCATCTTGGTCATGCATCTCGCAGAAGTTAGACGTGTGTTACTTAATTGTGTACAGGTGACTGGGTTAGGTGCTCCTTTGGAGAGACAGCCGTTTATTTCGGGATCTAGTTTGGCCGCTACGAACGTTATTGCTACGAATTCTGGATTAGTAGATCTGGGAACAGGTGTGGGTCTTGGATCTAGATCTGTATATAGTGCGCAGGCTGTCGCTGCGGATAGTTACGACAGTGGCAGTGCCGTGAAGGTTCACTAAACGAACGAAATATGATACAGTCAGATTCGGATTGATGTTATCGCTCGGCTTTTTTCTTCGTTACGTACTGGAAAATACTCTGTCTATCGTAGCGTGTCGCGGTCTCCGCACGCATGCGCATATCTTGCTACTTTTTTGCTATCGTTGCGAACTGTTTGAGAAATTATACGTTTAATTATATGTATGGACATGTTACGATACCAAGTTGGAGAATAAGAAACCATGTTAATACCCGGTTAAAAGAACGCTGTGTATATTAAAAAATATAAATATAAAAATATCGTCCATTATTGTGCGAGATTATACTTGTGCATAATGGTCGTAGAAAAAAATATGTTGTTATTCCTATCATATATCGATAAATGCGTGAGGTACAGGTGAGTAAACATAAGTAGTAATTGGTAAGTACTATTCATATCTATCAGTCTATAGTCATATCTATAGTTCATATCTATAGTCTAAAATTCGAATCTCTTAAGTGTGTTGTACGGCATATCAGCCGCAATATATATGAAGTAGCTCGTTGTTCGTAACCCAGACAGCACATGTTCTTCCGGGGACGTCCTAAGGACGAAGGATGAAGAAACGTCCCCAGGACGTCCTCAAGATGTACTCTGGATGTCCTCTGGACATCTGTGCTGTTAGGGAATTGACAAGTTAAAGTGTGGTTGAGGTCAAAATTAAGTGGTCGTATGGACAAGTGTATAGCGGGCGGTTATTTCATAGGTGTTGTTTTATCGAAAAAGAAAATATTAGGGCGCAATTGTTTCACAAAGTAGCAGAGGGTACAAACTCCTCCTATTTTAGTGGTGACGGAAGTGATTAATTCGCCATACTCTTTCGGTTAGGAGTGGGCCGAGGGCAGCACAGTCGGTCCTCCACTACCAGTTGTCGGATGCCATATTGGACACTGAAGCCCGTTCTACATTAGTCGCAAGCACAGGACGCAAGTCCAAAGTCGTAGAAATCCACCAATCATAGTCGAATGTTAAGAGAATATTCGACTGTGATTGGTGAATTTCTACTGACTTACGACTTGCGTTCTGTGTCTTGCGACTAATGTAGGACGGGCTTTACTGTTTACCAGTTTTCTGGAGCAGTAGGAATTTTGTTAGCAAGTGAACGATAGCAAGTGCACATTTATTTAGCGAGAGAAGTGTTTATTTACAGGTTATTTACAGAAAGAAGAGCCGAGCAAGGAGAGAGATCATGTGGAGATAAAATATTTCTATTTCTGTAAATAAATATTTATATGTAAATATGTAAATCGGTGTAGATTATTTCACAACGTTGTTCGTTGATCTTTCCTCAGATAGCACAAATGTTTTAAATACATTTGACTTATATTAAAACAAACATATTAAAAGCAAGACGTCTCTCTTTTATACGCTTTTAGACGTATCTTATTATAAATCCATGTTAAGAGTGAGAGTGTGAATGCTTATGTGCAGTGATGCACATATATGGTGCAGGTTGTTAGTGCATCAAATTTTTTTAACCACACCAGGTATATGGCAGAAGAGTACCTGACAGTCCGCAGTCTGCAAGTGGGACGGGAAAAATTTGATGCATAAAATAAATTGTAATTATTTTTCATTGAACTGTATAAATAGTTTCATTAAACTACATACAGTTAAAGTATGTTCTCCAGCCTTTCTCCGTCGATATCCAGCCTTCCTCCGTCGATATCTCCGCTTCTGCTGGGAGTAGAGAGTCGTCCATGTAGTCGAAAATGTAGGGTTTTGAAAGGACTTTAATTTGGTGCCAGAACCAGGCCTGTATCTCTAACCGTTTAGGAGATATCGAAGGTTAAAGTTTTCCAACCTTTCTGCGTTGATATCTCCGCTTCTACTGGGAGTAGAGAGTCGCCACTTACGGCAAAATGTAGGGTTTTGAGAGGACTTTAATTTGGTGCCAGAACCAGGCCTGTATCTCTAACCGTTTAGGAGATATCGAAGTTTAAAGTTTTCCAGCCTTTCTCCGTCGATATCCAGCCTTCCTCCGTCGATATCTCCGCTTCTGCTGTGAGTAGAGAGTCGTCCATGTAGTCGACAATGTAGGGTTTTGAAATGTAGGGTTTTGAAAGGACTTTAATTTGGTGCCAGAACCAGGCCTGTATCTCTAACCGTTTAGGAGATATCGAAGGTTAAAGTTTTCCAACCTTTCTGCGTTGATATCTCCGCTTCTACTGGGAGTAGAGAGTCGCCACTTACGGCAAAATGTAGGGTTTTGAGAGGACTTTAATTTGGTGCCAGAACCAGGCCTGTATCTCTAACCGTTTAGGAGATATCGAAGTTTAAAGTTTTCCAGCCTTTCTCCGTCGATATCCAGCCTTCCTCCGTCGATATCTCCGCTTCTGCTGTGAGTAGAGAGTCGTCCATGTAGTCGAAAATGTAGGGTTTTGAAATGTAGGGTTTTGAAAGGATTTTAATTTGGTGCCAGAACCAGGCCTGTATCTCTAACCGTTTAGGAGATATCGAAGGTTAAAGTTTTCCAACCTTTCTGCGTTGATATCTCCGCTTCTACTGGGAGTAGAGAGTCGCCACTTACGGCAAAATGTAGGGTTTTGAGAGGACTTTAATTTGGTGCCAGAACCAGGCCTGTATCTCTAACCGTTTAGGAGATATCGAAGTTTAAAGTTTTCCAGCCTTTCTCCGTCGATATCCAGCCTTCCTCCGTCGATATCTTCGCTTCTGCTGGGAGTAGAGTGTCGTCCATGTAGTCGAAAATGTAGGGTTTTGAAATGTAGGGTTTTGAAAGGACTTTAATTTGGTGCCAGAACCAGGCCTGTATCTCTAACCGTTTAGGAGATATCGAAGGTTAAAGTTTTCCAACCTTTCTGCGTGATATCTCCGCTTCTACTGGGAGTAGAGAGTCGCCACTTACGGCAAAATGTAGGGTTTTGAGAGGACTTTAATTTGGTGCCAGAACCAGGCCTGTATCTCTAACCGTTTAGGAGATATCGAAGTTTAAAGTTTTCCAGCCTTTCTCCGTCGATATCCAGCCTTCCTCCGTCGATACCTCCGCTTCGGCTGGGAGTAGAGAGTCGTCCATGTAGTCGACAATGTAGGGTTTTGAAATGTAGGGTTTTGAAAGGACTTTAATTTGGTGCCAGAACCAGGCCTGTATCTCTAACCGTTTAGGAGATATCGAAGGTTAAAGTTTTCCAACCTTTCTGCGTTGATATCTCCGCTTCTACTGGGAGTAGAGAGTCGCCACTTACGGCAAAATGTAGGGTTTTGAGAGGACTTTAATTTGGTGCCAGAACCAGGCCTGTATCTCTAACCGTTTAGGAGATATCGAAGTTTAAAGTTTTCCAGCCTTTCTCCGTCGATATCCAGCCTTCCTCCGTCGATATCTCCGCTTCTGCTGTGAGTAGAGAGTCGTCCATGTAGTCGAAAATGTAGGGTTTTGAAATGTAGGGTTTTGAAAGGACTTTAATTTGGTGCTAGAACCAGGCCTGTATCTCTAACCGTTTAGGAGATATCGAAGGTTAAAGTTTTCCAACCTTTCTGCGTTGATATCTCCGCTTCTACTGGGAGTAGAGAGTCGCCACTTACGGCAAAATGTAGGGTTTTGAGAGGACTTTAATTTGGTGCCAGAACCAGGCCTGTACCTCTAACCGTTTAGGAGATATCGAAGTTTAAAGTTTTCCAGCCTTTCTCCGTCGATATCCAGCCTTCCTCCGTCGATATCTCCGCTTCTGCTGGGAGTAGAGAGTCGTCCATGTAGTCTAAAATGTAGGGTTTTGAAATGTAGGGTTTTGAAAGGACTTTAATTTGGTGCCAGAACCAGGCCTGTATCTCTAACCGTTTAGGAGATATCGAAGGTTAAAGTTTTCCAACCTTTCTGCGTTGATATCTCCGCTTCTACTGGGAGTAGAGAGTCGCCACTTACGGCAAAATGTAGGGTTTTGAGAGGACTTTAATTTGGTGCCAGAACCAGGCCTGTATCTCTAACCGTTTAGGAGATATCGAAGTTTAAAGTTTTCCAGCCTTTCTCCGTCGATATCCAGCCTTCCTCCGTCGATATCTCCGCTTCTGCTGTGAGTAGAGAGTCGTCCATGTAGTCGACAATGTAGGGTATTGAAATGTAGGGTTTTGAAAGGACTTTAATTTGGTGCCAGAACCAGGCCTGTATCTCTAACCGTTTAGGAGATATCGAAGGTTAAAGTTTTCCAACCTTTCTGCGTTGATATCTCCGCTTCTACTGGGAGTAGAGAGTCGCCACTTACGGCAAAATGTAGGGTTTTGAGAGGACTTTAATTTGGTGCCAGAACCAGGCCTGTATCTCTAACCGTTTAGGAGAGATCGAAGTTTAAAGTTTTCCAGCCTTTCTCCGTCGATATCCAGCCTTCCTCCGCCGATATTTCCGCTTCTTCTGGGAGTAGAGTGTCGTCCATGTAGTCGAAAATGTAGGGTTTTGAAATGTAGGGTTTTGAAAGGATTTTAATTTGGTGCCAGAACCAGGCCTGTATCTCTAACCGTTTAGGAGATATCGAAGGTTAAAGTTTTCCAACCTTTCTGCGTTGATATCTCCGCTTCTACTGGGAGTAGAGAGTCGCCACTTACGGCAAAATGTAGGGTTTTGAGAGGACTTTAATTTGGTGCCAGAACCAGGCCTGTATCTCTAACCGTTTAGGAGATATCGAAGTTTAAAGTTTTCCAGCCTTTCTCCGTCGATATCCAGCCTTCCTCCGTCGATATCTCCGCTTCTGCTGTGAGTAGAGAGTCGTCCATGTAGTCGAAAATGTAGTGTTTTGAAATGTAGGGTTTTGAAAGGACATTAATTTGGTGCCAGAACCAGGCCTGTATCTCTAACCGTTTAGGAGATATCGAAGGTTAAAGTTTTCCAACCTTTCTGCGTTGATATCTCCGCTTCTACTGGGAGTAGAGAGTCGCCACTTACGGCAAAATGTAGTGTTTTGAGAGGACTTTAATTTGGTGCCAGAACCAGGCCTGTATCTCTAACCGTTTAGGAGATATCGAAGTTTAAAGTTTTCCAGCCTTTCTCCGTCGATATCCAGCCTTCCTCCGTCGATATTTCCGCTTCTGCTGTGAGTAGAGAGTCGTCCATGTAGTCGAAAATGTAGGGTTTTGAAATGTAGGGTTTTGAAAGGACTTTAATTTGGTGCCAGAACCAGGCCTGTATCTCTAACCGTTTAGGAGATATCGAAGGTTAAAGTTTTCCAACCTTTCTGCGTTGATATCTCCGCTTCTACTGGGAGTATAGAGTCGCCACTTACGGCAAAATGTAGGGTTTTGAGAGGAC